ATGAGAATACAAACTGTACCAGGTATCAAAGATTTTCAGTATCTTAGCTTAGGTCTGCCAATGACATCTTTTCTTCTTCTACTCTCATTGGTGTCCAAGTGCTTATTACAGAAACATTCCCACAACAGTTGGATCAAAACCCGTAAGGCACTCTAATAAATCTCATATATCAGTTCTGTTCCTCTAGAGTAGTGGTTCTCAACCTTCCTAATGCTGTGATCCTTTAATACAGTTCTTCATATTGTGGTGACCCCAACCATAAGATTACTTTCTTTGCTACTTCATAACTGCAACTTTGCCATTGTTATGAATCACAATGTAAATATCTGATACTTCTAGTTGTCTTAGGTGACCCCTGTGAAAGGGCTGTTTATCCCCCCAAAGGGGTCATGACCCACGGGTTGAGAACCACTGCTCTAGAGAAAGCACCTTGACTAATACAGAAGAGAAACCACAAGGGGCAGTCACTGCATAGACTCTAACTCAGGAGACTGAGTTTGGACACCACTGGGTGACTTTCAGCAGTTTGGGTTTCTCTTTGGAAATACCTGCTTCAGTTAGGAAATGAAATAGTCAAGTCGGGGTTAAATCTCCATGGTCCTTTCCAGCTCAGAAACTGTGATTCTGGAACCTGCTTGTCAGATGTGGCAAATTATGATCTCTCTCTCCAGTTACATATGTTCCAGAGCATGGTGTTTTGGGTATAAATATGCCAGTGTTTGCCATCTTGCGTATGTGTGTATTCTAGCTATATGACTACAATGTGTTTTTGTTTATGGATGAAAAAGGGATGCTTCATGGTTTCTTCAGACAAGACCAAATGGCTGTTGGATATAGTAAGCTCATTCACTCTAGGCATTATGGGAAGACAAAGAACTCAAGACAAGGTTCATTGACAAGGTTGTTTTGTTGTTTCTCTTCTTCTTCTTCTTCTTCTTCTTCTTCTTCTTCTTCTTCTTCTTCTTCTTCTTCTTCTTCTTCTTCCTCTTCCTCCTCCTCCTCTTCTTCTTTTTTGTTTTTTTGAGACAGCCTTGGCTGTCCTGGAACTCACTCTGTAGACCAGACTGGTCTCGAACTCACAGAGATCCACCTGCCACTGTGTCCCAAGTGCTGGGATTAAAGGTGTGTGCCACCATATTATTATTTTGGTTTTTTAAGACAGGGTTTCTCTGTGTAGCCTTGGATATCCTGGAACTTGCTCTGTAGACCAGGATGGCCTCGAACTCACAGAGATCCTCCTGCTTCTACCCCCTGAGTGCTGGGATTAAAGGTACACACTACCATGCCTGGCTTCTAAAGAATAATTCCTATTATGTTTTGCAATCAAATCTAATTAAGTTTTAGAATCAATCTTGTGAGGTAGCTCAGGTTTTTACAGAAGAAAAAGAAATGTAGAGGCAAAGGGATCTGCTCACAGTTTTTTAGAATCAGAGCCAGACAGAGATCTAGAGTCTAACACTGACATGCACACTCATCCCATTACAGCGATGGGTGTGAGAACGGAGCCCGATCATGAAAAACCATTAAAAGAGCTGTGGTTTCTGGAAAGCAGAGCCCAGAAGCCTCAGGTCCCAGCATGCCAGGCCCTGCCTGCTCTGTCCCTGCTCTGCAGCTGCCTGTTGCCGGGCTTCACAGGAATGAAAGGCTCCTTCGAGGGCACGGACTGTGATGAATTCAAATTTCAGGCGGCATGGATAAGAAGTAATCATCCGGGAGCGTCTAGCAAGCCGTGAAAGCTGCTTGCTAACTCCTTCCCAGGGCGCACCTCTGTAAGGCAGGGATGTGATCATGCCATCTCTAAGGGGCATGGCAGAGGTCAAGTGCTCTCTCTCAAGCAGTCAGCACTCAGGGATACATCCAGTATCCTGTAACTGTATTAAGAGCAGGAGGAAGGAATACTAAGACAAAGGAATGGCGATCAGGGCCACGTTACAGACTACCTGTCCTCTCCATTTCCTTCCGATAGTCTTTTTGCCTCCAGAACTGGATGAGGGAAGACACTGTCTGTCATTTTGTCCAGTTCTCCAGTTCCTATCCCGGGGGGATTTTTGCTGGCCAACCTCCAGGCTTACATTCCACTAGGAGAGGGATCCTTTAGCTATAGCTCATTCAACAAATCATTAACTCGCTTACTATAAGCCAGGCATAGCTGTAGGTACTGGATATACAAACCAACAAGAAAGTCAGACATTAAAGAAATGAATATGAAAATGATGATATATACAGGTACTGGGTGGTTTTGTGTGTCAACTTGACACAAGTTAGAGTCATCAGAGGAAGGAGCCTCAGCTTCGGAAATGCCTCCATAAGATCCAGCTGTAAGACATTTTCTCAATTAGTGATCAATGGGGGAGGGCCCAGTCCATTGTGGGTGGTCCTATCCCTGGTCTGGTAGTCCGGGGTTCTATAAGAAAGCAGTCTGAGCAAGTCACGGGGAGCAAACCAGAAAGAAGCTCCCTTCCATGGCCTCTGCATCAGCTCCTGCCCCCAGGATCCTGCCCTGTTTGAGTTCCTGTCCTGACTTCCTTCAGTGACAAACTGCAATGCTGGAATGTAAGCCACATAAACACTTGCCTTTTGGTCATGGTGTTTTGTTGCAGCAATATAAACCTGAAGTAAGACAATACACAAATCATGGTGAAGGTTATGGAGTAGAGAGGGAGAAGTTTAAAGCCTGAAGCATGCACCTGAGTGAGACCTTTGGAGGATGAAATGTCAAGGAAACACAGTCAAAGGAAGCAGTGTCTTCACAAAGAGGTGACAGGAAGGGGGGGGTCACACCCCAGAGCAAGCAGGACAATGGTCCCCAATGAGACTGGAAGAGGAGGCAGGGACAGAACCACACCAGCCTGGAAACTGAGCCAGGGGAGCCGCTGTACGCTCACCCTGCTCTGGCGTCTGCTGCCGTCCCTCCCCAGTGCAGCGTGGAAAAGATCTGGTTTGTCCCACTAGTTCTGCTGCCCCTGGTGCTGTTGAAAATTGAGGTTAGAAAATCAAACACAGCCAAACCACCAACATGGTCAGCTTCAGGCTTTCCTGTTTGGTTGGATAACCTCAAAACTCATCTGACTCAATCCCATGGGCTTGGTGAGTATGTTTCTTACATATAGACTGTTTGCCAAGACGACTAGCATTTCAGGGGTGGAATATTGGCTTGGCACTTAAACCTAAGAGAGAAAGTGAATTGTAGCAACAGCTATAATAAAGAATAAAAGCTACAAATGAATGATGGACAGGCCTTTTTTTGTTTGGTTTTGGTTTTTCAAGACAGGGTTTCTCTGTATTGTTTTGGAGGCTGTTCTGAAACTCGCTCTGTAGACCAGGCTGGCCTTGAACTCAGAGATCTACCTGCCTCTGCCTCCCGAGTGCTGGGATTAAGGCATTCACCACCCACGCAGGGTGTGATGGCCAGGTCTTACTGAAGTAAGAAACTCATTCAATTGCATGTTCCAAAAAGCACTGAGAACTCTCCTCCACAGAGGAAGCTAACACCACAAACCCTGCCTCCTGTGAGGGATGACCACAAGTCCCGCCAGACAGAGACAAGTGTCCCTTCTCATGACATAAAATGGTACCTTCAGAACCCCTCAGGTAAGAAAGTTAACAATATGGACTAAGAGCTTCAAAAACAGTCAGTTTGGGCCAGCAAGATAACCAGTGGGCAAAAACACTTGCTGCAGCCGGGCAGTGGTGACACACACATTAGATCCAAGCACTCGGGAGGCAGAGGCAGGCGGATCTCTGTGAGTTCAAGGCCAGCCTTGTCTACCTACCGAGTTCCATGTCTCCAAAGATATAAAAACAAAACAACAACAACAACAACAACAAAAAAACAAAATACTTGTCACACACACACACAAACCCAAAAAACCCTGACCTGTGTTTGATCCTGGAACCCATAAAGGGACACAGACATACATGCAGGCAAAACACCATATACATAAAATAAATAAACCTTAAAACCTGCCAGGTTGGAAGTTTAAAATATGTATAGTCAGGGCCAGTAAAATGGCTCTTTGGGTGAAGGTGCCCATCTGTCACCAAGCATGGTCACCTGGGTTCAATCCCTGTGACCTACATAATGGAAGGAGGGAACTCTCACAAGCTGTTCTTTGACCTCCACGTGCCAGTAACTGTCACACAGTGTGCGTGTTTGCACACACACTCTCACAACACACTCACACACACAGCCACACTCTCACAACACACTCACACTCACATTCACCCAGTCACACACACACTCACACATTCACCTTCACACACATTCACACACACATTCACACACTCACACACACAGTCACACTCACACACTCACACATTCACCTTCACACACATTCACACACTCACATTCACACACTCATGCACACATTCACATACACACATCCCACATACATGTCTTTTTTCTTTCAATTTGACTCAATAAGCTCCATTTCCTCTACTCTATCCTTAGACAAAAATGAGAAATTTTTGGACAGTGGTGGCACCCACCTTTAATCCCAGCACTCAGGAGGCAGAAGAAGGTGGGTCTCTGTGAGTTTGAGACCAGCCTGGTCTACAGAGTGAGTTCCAGGACAGCCTCCAAAGCTACAGAGAAACTTTGTCTCGAAAATTCAAAATAAAGAAAATCAGAAATCTGTTCAAGGGTGTCTATAAGCATTTTCATGAAAAGGGTTAATGTACTATCAAGCAATAAACAACTCAATGTGTAATCTACATTATATAATTACATTATGAGATCTCCTTATTATGGAAGCACCGTAGTGAAGTGGTTTCGGGAAGGACCGCAAATGTCATTTTTAAGGGATGTGCCAACGCAGTTACAGTCTGATGGGATAAGTGCCTTGACAAGGTGGGGACCACCGAGGGGTGAAGGACAGATTTTCCGGAACACTGACACTCGGGGTGAGTCTCAACGTCCGTAGGGAAGTTTCTAGGTGTGAAGGAAATAAAAAGGACCCAGTGAAGATTTAGGAAATCTGGACCGATAATCCCCGCCTCACCTCTCGTCCGCCTGTTCACCAAGCCCGCACTTTTCCCGTGAGTGAGTTGAAGAGCCATGACGGTGATCGGGATGGTCATGGCCTCTCCCTGGAGAAGAGAGGTGATGTGGAAGGCTGTGCCTCTGCCCCGTGGGCTGGACGTAACGCCCAGCCTGAGGGTCAGGCTTCTGGAGCGAAATAAGTCCCAGGCCCTATACGGGCTCTCCACGCGGGCCTCCTGGCAGCGCCAAAAAACGACTCGCTGCCTCTACACAGTGCGCAAGCGCAGTTGGCCACAGATCCGGCAGCAATATGAAGCTTCGCACCCACCAGGAGAAAGAAAGCTTGTGTGAGGCCTACCTGGCTTAATAGACCAATTCTGAGGTAAAGAGCCAGGTAGGGAGTCTACACAAGGCTAGTTGTCCCAACACACCCAGAGCTCCCATGTTGTTGCCTGGCTCCTCCTGAGGCCTACGGGCTTCCTAGGCCTCCGCCTCACTCTCTGGGACCCCTCAGGGTGTGTCCCCTGCAGCAGCTCCTGTAGGCTTCCCTCTGTTCAGGGAGTCATCTTGCTCTCTCTTCTGTGAGCTCTCTGAGGGGTAGAGGTGAGTAAGATGGCCAGAGGCTGGGGAGAAAGCATCTTTGGCCTAGGCCCTGCTTGGGGTCCTGAACCTGAACCCGACCCCCGACCCCCGCAATGGGCTTTGGTCTGGATAGTTCTCCCCCAGCTATTGTGATTTTTCTCGATTTCTGATCCACCCCTATGTAATGGTTGGGTTACCCTGGTGTTTCAAACCCAGCCACCAGCTAGGACATGAACAGGGCGGTTTACTTCAGATAAAAGAGCTGTGGACAAAACCATTGTGCTGGTCATGTTAGACCCCTCCTTGTTAGGCCTCTCTAGACTGTGGTATGCGGAGGCTCCGGGAAAGTGAGGGCAGATGTATTGTCTTTCACATTGGCCTTCTTCTGATTCAGCCGTAGACTGCCATCTTGTAATTTTTGTTCTTTCGGCCCAGAGCATGCCTCATGCCGATGATGCGCCCCGGCGACTATCCAGGACTGGAACAAGCCTCTATGCTGTGCTAGAAATAAAGAAAGGGGCCCAGCCTGAAGAGATCAAAAAAGCCTACAGGTTCAGACCCTACCCTTTATTCAACAACCCTGGCATTTCCCCCGGCCCCTTCACCATCATTGGACCCTCCTTTTGTAGCTCTAAGAAGCTTTCATTTGGGGGCCAAAGAAAGCCACCCCTTCCTCAGTGTGACACTGGAAGGAACCTTGCCTCCATCGCTTGTACCGTATCTCCAGTGCCCCTCGCATCATCTAGAGACCTACCCTAACCCTCTCCGCTCAGTCCCGTCCTATGCCCTTCCCCACTGTCCTTTGGGTGTTGCCTGGGTAGGAAACTGGCCTTGCAGTATCATCCAGACAAGAATCCGGGGGACACTCAAGCAGCAGAGGTCTTCAAAGAGATCAACACAGCCCATGCTGTGCTCAGTGACCCTACCAAGAAGAGAATCTACGACCAGCATGGCTCATTAGGAATATACCTGTTTGATCATTTTGGTGAAGACGGCGTCAAATACTATTTTATAGCGCACAGCTGTTGGTTCAAGGTACACCATTCTTCCTATTCCCTCAAAAGTAAGAAAGGAGTTTGGGGGGAGGCTGGAGACATGGCTTACAGTTTGGAGCACTCTGCGATCTTTTAGAGGACCAGGGTGTGAGATTCCCAGCATGCATGTGGTAGCTCACAACATTCCATGACCCCCACTCCAGGGGATCCACAGTCATCATCTGGCTCCTGTGGGCACCAGACGTGCACACAGTACACAGACACACATGAAGGCAGAACAGCCACACATAAAATAAGAGAGAGCCAGCCGTGGTGGCTCATGCCTCCCAGCCCAGGCTTTAGGAGGCACTGGGGGTAGCCTGGGGTACACAGTACGATCCTGTCTGTGTCGATAGAGTAGGGAAGGAAGGGCTGCCTTCTCCTGGAAATAGATGCCTCTGTTGTCACTTTGTGTGTGTGAGGGTGGAGGGCTGGGGAGACCTGCGTGGAGCTCCCAGAGGAACGGGGGACCATGGCCCCTCCCTCTCCTGTCGCGTAGACCCTCGTCATCCTTTGCTGTCTTTTAACTTGCTGCTGCTGCTGCTGCTGCTGTTGCTTTTGCTGTGGATATCTTAGTCCACCGCCCGAGGAAATTAACAAATCACAAAAGACGCGGCAAAGGAATATCTATTGTCAGCCTACGAGACTAGGTGGGGACCAGGGGCAGGGGTTGGGGTGGGGGCAGGGGTTGGGGTGGGGGCCAGGGGCAGGGGCTGGGGTGGGGGCAGGGGCAGGGGTTGGGGTGGGGGCCAGGGGCAGGGGTTGGGGTGGGGGCAGGGGCAGGGGCAGGGACTGGGGTGGGGGCAGAGGCAGGGGTTAGCAGAGTAGGAGGCTGGTGAGAAAGGCCTGTGAGGCAGGCAGTTAACCCTGAAATGGGAATGCTTCAAGTCCTGCGTTGGGGTGAAGAGAGACAGAGACAGCAGCTGATGTCCCTTAGGCTGCAGACTGAACTGGGGGAAATAGACCTTGGAAAGGAGCTAGTTGAAGACAAGTTCATAGATGAGATTTACTGCAGACAGAAGCATGAGCTTGGGATAGAGGTCTTGCCTAGCTCGGGGGAGAGCCTGGATTCCACCCCCAACCTCGGGTGGGGGGTGTATTGTTTGAGATTGTTCCCGCCCGGATAGTTAAAAGTTTAAAATGGCACGTTGACCGAAGTTCACACCATTCCACCTGGTGATGCCAACAGATAACTACAAGGTAAGGGTTTTCCCATCTGTACACTAAAAAAGAAAAACAAACGGAAATGGTTGTTACTGTAGATATGTAAGCATGTTGTAATTCCTCCCCAGGAGCACAACAGAAACATCAAATAGAAGATGAGGACAGCGATGATGATTAAGGAAGCGTGAAGACGAGTGAGGTATGTAAACAGAGCAGCGGTGGTTACGTATAAGAGATGGCTCAGCTGGTAAAGGCGCTGCCACCCAGCCGGACTCCCTGAGCTTGCCTCTGGGACACACAAGGTGGAGTGAAAGAACTAACTTCTTCAGACTGTCCTCTGATCTCTTCACACACACTCATCTGCACGCATGTGCATGCGTGTGTATGTGTGATCTGTTATATATACAATACACACATACATATGCGTTATATGCATTTAAAGCATATATAGTACTTCAAATGGGTCATTATTGGAAAGTCTTTTTATAGCATCAACCACAGCTGCCTGCACTCTTTCCTAGAGACAGCGTGCTTTCAATTATTGGTGGTTATTCCTAATAAGAGTCCAACTGTTTCTACCATTAGGTACTGGCCCAGTGAGAGTTCCCCTGCCACCCAGCCCTCTGGACACATTGAAGACACAAGCAAGTAACCCTGTGCTGCCATTGACCCTGATTTGACTCGTGTTCTTAAAAAACAACCCCTGCTTCAGAAGCCGTGACGACATCCATCCTAGAAAGGGCCACACCCTGCCGTCGATATGCCACTGAGCCTGGCCACACAGAGCCTTGAGCTGATCTTTTTAGCCCTAGCTCCCATCCCAGCTTTAACCACTCGAGGTCTCAGGCCATGGTGGCAGGCATTTCCGGAGTACTCTTTTTCCAGTGCGTGCCTGGGTAGTTGCCAATGCCAGGTTCGGCCCCCTGAGCACTTGCTGATTCACTTCACCGAGACCCTGATCACCAAGCAAGGTGGCTCCTGTCCCAAGAGCTGGTGGATCAGCTAATCCTTGTTTGTCACAACTTTGTGTACCAAGAACTTCAGTGCTCGCCTCACTTCTTAGCAGTACACCTTTAGGAGGCTGGTCTTCTGGGAGCCTGGCCATTGGCATTGACACCCCATTCATAAGACAGCATGGGAACATGTGAGTGCATTCCAGGTTTGTGGTTTCTCCTTGGACTTCAGCCTCACTCCTATACCCATTGCGAGCCGTGGTCCTGTGGACTGGCTGCAGCCCATGCCCCGGTGCCTGCTGCCTCCATCCTGCAGACACCTCATGCAGGTTGATCCTTATATATCGTTTCTTAACACAGGGGCATGGAACGTGATGGGGACAGACTTACTCACAAACTAGCTTTTGTGTGTTGTTGGCTTGGCATTCTCTCTGTGTCGTCTTCACCAATTCTTTCTTACTCGTGTGGGATCAGGGCCTAGGAACCCTCAAACTCCTCTGCCCTCATTGTGAGAAGGGCTAAAGAATATCAATAATAAAAAAAACCCTTGTCCAATTCCACTGTGTCCAAGTTATGTGGGGGATAGAGAAAAAGATCTATAACTGTTGCTCAGGCCTGGGATGAGGCTGCCATGGTCGGTGGAGTTGATCACTATGGAGCTGGGGGTCAGAGATGCCCAGTGGTAGTGACTTTGTCAGTGTTCTAAGACTGGGGTTCCAGATAACTGCAGCATGCAGATTCTTTCCAGCCACATCTGTTCTCACAACTTCTCCCTTTTCATGTGTGTGTGTGTGCATACATGTGTCTGTGTAAATGGGTCTGCACATCTGTCTGTGCATGCCTGTGGAAGCCACAAGAGGGTGCTGAGTTTCTGGGAGCTGGGGTGAAGGGTGGTAGTGAGTGTTGGGGATCTGAACTCCACTCCTCATGAGACTGTCTTAACCTCTGAGACATCTCTAGTCCACGCTTGTCTCAGTTTCTAAGCAAATTTAGCATCTCTGAAATGGCTTTAGTGGTGAACCAGAGTCCTGCACTATCATGTCCTCATCATGAGGCAGCCATCTCTGCCTCTTCAGCTGCTCTCCTAGGATGACATAACTGGCATCCAAGGGTTATGTAGTTCAGTCAGTACAGTGCACACACGAGACCCTGAGTTGACCTCCAGAACCCCGTAAACCGGGAATGGTGGTGTTCTCCCCTAATCTCAGCACTTAGGATGTAGAGTCAAGAGGATCAGGAGTTCAAGGTTAACCTAGTCTACATGAGAGCCTGTCTTTAATAAGGGAGAGAGAGGTGTGAGGCTATTGTTCAGTAGATAAAGGCATTATTCACCAAGTCTGATGACCTGAGTTTGATTTCTGTAACCCACACACTGAAGAAAAAGAAGTGACTCCTGTCAGTGACCTGTGACCTCCAAATATGCTCCATGTCATACCTACCCCTCCCTAAAGAAATAAATGTAGTTGTTTCTTAAGGCTGAGCAAGAACAAATATGGACCGGACATATAGGACAAGACGCTCTTTCTCTAGGGTCTGGTGTTCTACTTCTGCATCCTGAGTCTCCAGGAGGAGGGTCAGGGTCACTGCTAAGTCACAGAAGGAGAGACAGCAGTCTGTAGATCTGTCCAGACCATCTCTCCCTAACAGTTTCGCTGTTAGGAAGAAGGTCTCAAGCCAGAACATGGAGAGCAGAGTTTGCAGGAACCTTTCCAGTGACAAGTGAGGCCCACACGTTCGCTGACCCACCACCCACTGAAAGGAGTGACACCCCTGCTGCTCTTCTTGCTCAAAAAAGTCACTAACTGAGTGAGTCAGGGTCACTCAGTCCAAGACAGCTGTGGCTCGCCTTACACGAGCTAAATTGGGAACTGGAATGTCACACAAATGCCCCTTGTCTCCCCACCCCCACAGTAATATTAATCTCTCTAGGGAGCAAGGGACAAACAGTGCTGCCTGTAGAGTGAGCTCGAGGGTGGTTTGGGGGAGCAAGGGAACTACTCGGGGAGCTAAAGGGACAAGTGCGTGCAGAGGGCTCCGAGCAAGGAGTGCAGACGGAAGCGTCTGGAAATAGCCAGGGTGAAAGGAGCTGCTAGGAGGAGAGACAGAAAACACCACTCCTTCAAGAGGGAGCAAGAGCAGGGGTCCTAGGAACTCACTGGCAGCCTAAAGATCACGAGAAGTGTGCAGACAGCGGGAGAAGGCCAGGACCAGGGCCGCAGCCGAGGCAGGCACTAGAGCGCCAAGGGATGAACTTCCCCGTGGGTTTCAAGCCGCTGCTAGGGGATGCACACAGCATGGACAACCTGGAGAAGCAGCTCATCTGCCCCATCTGCCTGGAGATGTTCTCCAAGCCCGTGGTCATCCTGCCGTGCCAGCACAACCTGTGCCGCAAGTGCGCCAACGACGTCTTCCAGGTGGGCTCAGGGACAGCTGGGCCAGGCCAAGGAGGGGACCAGGGCGGCAGATCCCTCAGGTGGGGGGTGGTGAAGCCGCCCCGGCTGAGTGGCAGGGGAGTTGGAGGTCTTGGGATCCCAGGGGAACAATGAGTCAGCAGTTGCCCAGAGGCTGGCAAACGCAGCCCGTGTCCACAACAGCTAGAAAGTAGGATCCGAGGGAGACTGGCAGAAACTGGCAAGGAAGGGTGGTCTTGCCTGGGCTTTGTGGGAGTCTTACTAGATCTCATTTACTTTGAGGCCTTGTGGTTGTATTTATTTATTTTATTTACAAACTATAGACGAGGTCAATGAAATATTAGGGCCAGCAAGACGGTTAGTGGGTGAAGGGACTTGTTACCAAACCTAACAACCTGAATTTGATCCCCAAAACATAACATGGTGAAAGAGAGGACTCCTGAAAGTTGACCTCTTACCTCCACTTACATGAACACACACACACACACACACACACACACTCCCTTTAAAATAATAACCAGGTATGGTGTGGTATATACCTGCAATTCTAGTACTTGGGAAGCTAGGACAGGAGAATTGTCATATTATTTTGTTTTATTGTTGAGACATGGTTTCTCTGTGTAGCACTGGCTGTCCTGGAGTTCACTATGTAGACCAGGCTGAACTCAGAGAGATCCTCCTGCCTCTGCCTCCCAAGTGCTGGGATCAGAGAGACATCACGACCATGCTTGGTCATCAACTGTCATGATTTTGAGGCTAACCTGGTTTACTTAGTGAATTCTGAACCAAGACTCTGTCTCAAATAGAAAACAAGAAACAACCCTAAAATTAGAAATTGATGATGAACAGTGAGAAAGCCCACGATGCCAGCAGAGCTGTGTGTATTTGAGACAGAGCTCTCTCCACAAGGAAGCTGCTTAGACACAGTGAGCCAGGGAAGCAGAAGTTCTCCCCAGTTTCACACCTGTGAGCCCTTCTGACCTTGTGAAGAAGCCCGTGAACTGACTGATACTCAGGTGACTTATGGACAGAGAGAAGACAGAAGCAGAATTGTGCTTCCCAGAAATGCCTGTGTAGCTGTGGTCATGAGGCCAGGCAAAGCTAAGTTAAGTCACTGATATCATTCTGTCCACACATTTCAAAAATAAAAACAAAGAAGCTGGGCATGGCGATGCATGACTGCAATCCCAGCCCTTGGGAGGTGGCAGCAGGAGAGTGCGTTTAAGGCAGACTTGGGCTATGTGAGACCCTGTCTAACCAACTAAATAGATGCACAATACCATAATTCCTTATGAATTCATAGGTGTGCTTTCTTACTCTGTGTCATTCATAGAGGTTCGAGTAGGCTATAGACTGCATCAGAGGTCTGAGAGAGTGAAGGGACAGGATACACATGTACAGACACAAGACCTTGCAGATGAAGTAAAAACTGCAAGAGCTGAGTGGCTTAGTGTGCAAATCTGAGACAGGAGCATCAGGGATAAGATTCTAGCCAGGAGCCAGGATGTGTGACACATGCCTGTGGTTGAAGCACCTGGGAGGACCATCACAACTAGAGGCTAGCCTGGTCTGTGTAATCCCCACAAACTAGAGGCTAGCCTTGTCTGTGTAATCCCCACAAACTAGAGGCTAGCCTGGTCTATGGAACAATTATACCAGTATATCCACTGGCTATATATAGCAAGACCCTGTCTCAAAAAGAAAAAAAAAGTGTCTAGGGCTGGAGAGATGGCTCAGTGGTTAAGAACACTTGTTGCTTTCCCAAACAACTCAGGTTCAGTTCCTAGCTTCCGCATGATAGCTCACAACTGTCTGTAACTCCAGCTCCAGGGGATCTGATGCTCCCTTCTGAACCCTCCCCTCATAGGTACCGTGCACACAGACAAAATACACACACATAAAATAAATCTTTAAAAAATTTAAAGAGTTATTCCTGCCTCTCGCAGACTATGAGGAAATGAGTTGAGCAGAGATTTTCCACACCCCCTTTTCCTCCCCTCTCTGGTGCTGTGGTTAATCCAGGGTATTGTGTGTGTTAGATAGGCATTCTACCATTGCTCTACACCACACAAGCTATTTTTAAAATATTTCTGTGTGTGTGTCTGTGTATGAGTCTTCTTCCTCCCTCCCCTACCCGCTCTCTGCACGTGCCATGGCACATGTGTGGAGTAGGCTTTCTCTTTCCACTATGTGAACGGAAGGTTTGACAGGCAACTTTACCCACTGAGCAACTCTCTGGCCCTGAGACATCCCGTTATCAGAACCCAAAATATGTGTAGTCAAAGAAATGTTAGGAAATCGAAGGAAAGTATTTGGTAAAAAGTACCCAAGGAGGCCGGGCATTGGTGGTGCATACCTTTAATCCCAGAATTTGGGAGGTAGAGGCAGGAGGATCTCTATGAGTTCGAGACCAGCCTGGTCTACAGAGTACCAGGACAGCCTCCAAAACAATAAAGAGAAACCCTGTCTCAAAAAACCAAACCAAAACAAAAAGTAGCCAAGGGGCCGAGTATGGTGGCCCATGCTTTTAACCCCTGCCCTCAAAAGTCAGAGACAGGTGGATCTCTCCCAAGTTCAAGGCCAACCTAGTCTATACAGTGAGCTCCAGTTAAGGCTATATAGTGAGACCGTGTCTAAAAAACAAGCAAACAAACAAACTCAAGAATGTTGATTTGTAAATGATAAGGTATTTAGCATAGGAACAGCCATCTACAGAGAATATAGAGTGAGTTTGTGACCTTTCTTCTTTAAGGCAGAATACTGAAGCTCTAGAATACACATCCGGGCTCAGAGAGATCTAGGAAGGGTTTGGAACAAACCCTGTGAAAAAGCAGGCTCGTGGCATACACCTGTTGTGCAGCTCAGGAGGCTGAGGTGAGAGTGTCACTTAAACCTGTGAGTTTTGAGATGAGTCTAGGCAACATACCAAGATCCCGTCTTCAGACAAAAAGTCAGAAGTTGGGGGTGTTCTTAGTGTTTGCCTAGTGTGCACAGATCCCAGCCCCAAATAAATATAGGTGACTTACACCTGTATTCCCATAGTCAGGAGGTAGAGGCATGGTAAGTTTGAGTCCAGCCTGGGCTATATGAGACCCGGTCTCAAAAGCAGACAAATGAGACCCAAGCCTGTGGAGATTATTTGAGAGGTAACATGACCCGCAGGCCTCTGAGACAATGATTCTGTAGGTCTGGTGCAGACTGCCCAGCTCTCCTCAGGGAACAGAGTGGACAGCTCAGTCCTCCAGGCTTTATTTGGAAGACCTGGGGGAGGCTGACCCAGTTACCCAGCTGTACCCATGTCTACACATCACAGCTCTGTCTGAATAATGAGCATATCCCATTTTTCACACGCTGCCTCCACATTTTGACAACTCTAGGCATAATCAGATTGTCTGTTTTCTAAGTATGGCGAATAGGACTTTTAGTTCCTCATCTTCAGATCACTAAGGAGGAAAACCTTCAGAGCATTGCCTAGAAAGTTAACAGTTAGGAACATGTCAACAGTATAGCACATTTAAATTTTCTTCAAACACCTTGGAAGAGCATAGCATGAAAAATGAATGCTGCCAACTTCAGATCTTTAATTCCCTTTACCAAATACAAACAAGCATTATCAGCTTCCCTGAGAATCTTTCTAGAAATTTCCATGCTTAGGCACATGTTTGCATGTACAGATACACCTGCCAGTCACCTTTTTGTTGTTGTTTTGTTTTGTTTGTTTGTTTTTTGTTTTTTTTTTTTTTGAGACAGGGTTTTTCTGTGTAGTCCTGGCTGTCCTGGAACTTGCTCTGTAGACCAGGCTGGCCTTGAACCCAGAGATCTGACTGCCTCTGCCTCCCTAGTGCTGGGATTAAAGGCACATGCCACCACTGCCCTGCATTTTTGTTTTAATTTGTTCCCTATCTACACATAGAAGACACAGTATGTCTTCTGTTTTATTATCGCTGTTATTTTAGCTTTTGTACCTATCATCTGGGTGGGGCACGTGTGTAGAAGTCCAGGGGACGACATTTTAGGGTGTCAGTTCTCCCCTTCTACCTTCACTTGGGCTCTGGAAATCCAAGCAGAGCCACTAGGGCTATGGGCAGATGTCTTCCCCCAGTCCTGCTGGCTCTGTCTGGAGACACAAGCCTTGCTCTGCAGCCCAGGCTGGCCTTAACTTTCCAAGGGCCTGATTAGAGGGGTGAGTCTCCACACCCCGCTGCGCTTTCTGTTTTCAGACGGCAGCGCAGTTTCCGTTGTTGTATGACCAGACCACAGTCTGTCTGTTTGCTAAGATGTTTATCTGCCTCAGGTGGTTGTCGTCCAGGGTTTGCTGGGGGAGCTGTGTCTGTGGTGTTAGGCTGGAGATATTCTCAGCTGGTAAAGTGCTTGCCTAGGACATGCAAAGCTCTGGGTTTAACCCCTCACACCACATAAAACACACCTGTAATCCCAACACACAGAAGGTGGAAGGAGCAGGGGAGTCAGAACTCAAGGTCATTCCCAACAATATAATGATTTGGATGAGAGCCTGGTTTACATGAGATACGGTTTCCTTTTGTTTTTGTTTCCCCAAAGGAAATTACTGACCAAGATTAAGGATTTGAAGAAACCATATGTATAATCCAATCCTGACCCACTCAAGGCAATTATCTTAATTTTTGCCTCCTTTATCATTGTTGAGATAGAATTTTACTATAGCATTAGCTAGCCTAGTACTCACTATGTAGATAAAGCTGGGCTTGAACTCATAACACTTTTCCCGCCTCAGTTTCCCTGAGATTACAAGTGTTTACCAGATGCCAATTTATGTTTACATATTTATTTACCTTCAAGCCTTCATCTCCCTATTATTTTACTTAGTTGCTGCTATAATTCTATTTAAAGCTATAATCCTCTTTTTCTCCGATATGAAACAGAAAACTTCAAAATATGACATTAGCCCCCTCTCATCCCCACACTTGCACCCACTCAGCTACCAAAAATTTGGACGAGAGCAAAGCTGTTGGTGAGGGAATCTG